TTTATTAATCTAAAAAAATGTAATTAAAATAAGTACAAGTATCGAATTTAATACAAGCACAATAATACAAGCCCATGTAAGAATATGTAAACCGCGAATTTTTTAGAAAATGATGATCTAACACAAACAGATAGAGTAGTTTTATAACATAATAATAATAGAAACGATTTGGAATCCAATGCTAATCTAGATTTATCTTTCAGAAAATATTTTTTTTTTAAACATACTATAAAATTTTTGAAGTTTCAGTAAAGAAATGTTAATTTCCATATAAAACTCAATCAGATACGTCTAAAATTAGTATTGATTTAAAGGAAGTCTATTTAATTGAACATTCTTAAGGATAAAATATGATCCCATTGTTTTTTTTTTTTTTAAATAAGAAGTTGGCAAGTAACTTGAGCAGATTTATATATTTATATTATTTCTAACAAATTTAATTCTTAAGCTGCACAATTTTCTTTAAGTGTCCCCCATCTCACATCCCTAAGGGCTGCTTTTGTACTTTGGAAAAAAGCAAATATTTGTATTTCTGCTTGAATGGCTGAACGATTGAACTGAGAGCGAAATTTGAACTGTAGCAAATCACACGCGTTTGATTGATGATTTGGCAGCAGTGCGGGGGCGTGGATTTGGGTATAAACCCACCAACCAACCCAAAAAGTAAGAAAAAAATAAAAAATCCGGAATAAAAACGGAGAAAAGGTTGCTACTCAGCTGAAGAGGGCGTGCACATGCCGTTGCTCCCTGTGTATCTTTAATGTTTGTATGGCGAAAAAAAGAGGAAAACCCGAGATCTGAGCTGAACTTAGTTTGGTATTGTTTCTTTTCCTGCAAACTCACACATAACTCACATTAATATGCATTGCTGATAAGGCAGAACATCGCACAGTATGGGTATTGCCCTCCCCTTTTGGCCACCCACATAATCAAACAAAAGCAATAAATCAAGGCAAACGAAATGAATTTTGATTGTCATTGATTTATGTATGTGCAGTGCAGTTGGGGAACTCAAACGAGGGCGAGGACGAGGGCTGACCATCCGATCATCCGACCATCCACACGCATAATGGCAGCGATAATAATGACAGCAGGAAGACGAAGGAAAGGTCCCTAAAAAGTTTGGGTACCGCCTCGGGGCCATCCAATTGGGGCAATTCAATTAACTGTCATCAAACGACAATTACAAATGAAGACGGCAGGTGTTCCGGAAGATGGAATCGATTTGATTTGAATGAACGCATTAATAGAATTTGACATGCCAAGAAAAGAAAAATTACCCTCAATGAGAATATAATTACTGCAGTAATTTAATAGATAAAATAAAGTATATAAATAAATTTTAAAAATAATAAATATTATAAATTATATGGAATAAGCTTTCCAATCTTAGGGTATCAGCAAGAATTTTGGCTCATCCCTCACTGAAGAATTCGCGGTGGCTAACGTAAGAGTATAGAACCGCGAATTCTTCAGGAGAGTATGATCTATCATGAGAAGAAAAAACAACTTAATACTACAATAATAGTAAAAACCATTTGGAACCGAAGGGTACTTAAGACTTCTCTACTCCGAAGGTATATAATTAAAGTAAAATTAAAATAATACATTTCCAAAGTACCCTTGATTGAAATTATTTTAATTTATATTTAAAAGTCAAGCAAAAGCGTCTAAAATTCGTACGACTGGCCAATGTAAAGGAAGTCTACGTAATGGAAATCTCTACAGAAAGACAAGCAAAACTTTTATGATTTTCAGCCCGCAGACCCCATACTCAATATAGCCATTTTCATTAAAATTGAGTTCAATTCAAGGGTCACACAAACAATAATTATGGCCCACCATTAGGCGCAGTCATTTGGCAATAAACTTTCTACTCTCGCCGATCCCTGCTAATTGTTAAAACTTTCAATTACCCTGGAGACAGGGGGTAAACCGAAATGCCATCCCCCTTGACCCCATGCCCACACCCATGGCCAGGGGAAATGCCAGTCGGTGCGTCAGTGTGTCAAGTTGGCAAAAGTGAAAATTACATTTCAAAAGTAGTTGGCAAGTCGTCGGCTTTGCAGCTGCTTTTGTTTCACCGTCCTACGTGACTCGTCCAAATTAGTGGGGTTTCTGCCAGGGGGGGTTTTTGGGTGATTTTCGGGGGGGATGTAAGCCCCCAACTCACGGATTTTAGTGCGCCTTGAACTTTGCTGCAGACGCGAACTCTGGAGGGCCTATTTGCGATGATTACACGGCGTATGAGTGATTTTAATTTAACGCAGAGATAAACACACGAATGCCTGGCGACCGAGTCCCCGATTCGAGCCCTTCTGCCATGCGATAAGTACCCCAACATTCCGTGTTCGTGCCGGTTGCTTTAAGTAGTTATGCAAATATTAAGCGCACAGCCGCCTTTTGACCTGAAAAGTCAATAGGAAAAACTCACATGGCCACAGCAATGAGCACGGCCACTCACACACGAACATTGGAGGCATATGTGCTTATAGTACGCCCTCTCTCGAGAACTTTCCTCGGGGGAAAGTCGTGGGGAGAGAGCTGCTTTCGCTGGCCTGATAACCGACACTGACAAACCACCCACCACAGTCGATTCCAAATGTCAAGAGCGGAGATTTTTGAAGGATTTCCATGTAAAAATTGAGAGGAATACAGCCAATGTACTTGAGGTTAAACAAATTTAAGAAATAATTTGCTTTGAGCTATACACACACAGAGAAAACTATCTAAGAACATTGTTCTTGAATTGAGCACATTGTTCTTGAATTGAGAACATTGTTCTTGAATTGAGAACATTCGTTCTTAAAAACCGTGTAAGTACATTTTGGTATCAATATAAGAACGAAATGGTGAGAAGAGAAAAGTTAAATTGAGTTTATTTAACATCTTTTTGATAAGTATACACTAAGGACTGAACTAATAGTTTATTTGTACATACAATTTACTTAAATACCGCCAATTCAACTTGATTGGAGCAAAATAAAAACATTTTCAACTTAAAAATGTCGTTCTATTTTTGAGAACATTTTCAACTCAGATTAGAACGTCAGAATTTTCTCTGTGCACATATTTTAAATATTTTATTACGGTAGCATCTACTTAAATATAATAATAAATATAAAGAATATTATTGAATTCGATGTTTATTATTTATATTTGTAATGGTGTCCAAAAGTATGCAGTAAAATAAGAACATAGTAGTTTGGAATACATCCGTGGGCCTTTCCATTCAAAGCATTTTTTATCGTTTATATTTGTAAAGGTGCCCAAAAATAGGCAGTAGAAAAAGAACATCGTAACTACATCCTTGGGTTTTTTGGATTATACATTTTATTGTAGCAATCTTTTACATAACATTAGTTTTAAAAATATAAATAAAGAATATTGTTATTCGTAAGGGTGTCAAAAAGTATGCAATAAAAAAAAAACATCGTATTTTGAAATATATCCGGGGGTTTTGGATTATATTTTATTGTATCACACTTTTAGATACATTTATTTGGTTTTAAAACTGTATATTTCTTCAAAAATTAAAAGCACATAAAAAATACACTTATAAATAATTTATAAAAATAACAAAACATATTGATCTTTACTTTCAATCTAATTTTTTTAACATAGTTTAAAAATCACTTACCTCATTGATTTTTCCACATTTGCTGGGTGCACGACTGGCCAATCGAAAAAACGAGAAATATGTATGGAGAAATCGAATTCCGAGAGTGTAAACTTAATTAAGAGCCTGCGAAGAGAGTTGATTTTGTTTGATTTACACGCCAGCAGCTGCATGCTTTAATTACATAGACGTGGGGTCGGGGCGAGGTCACTGGGTGGCCCTGACCCACGGTTAAGCCATCCACCACCCACCCAGCAGGGGGTCTTTCGGGCAGCCAGCTGTCGCTGATTGCCCACCAGGAAATGACCCACCGAAAAAAGCCAGGGCAAAAGGGATCCAGGCAGCAGGCTTTGGCATTTCATGGCTCATTAGGCATGCACATACGCTTGCTCCCCTTCAGAAGATGGGTATTTGGATTGGGAATCGGGTTGCAAGAGGTCCTGGAGCAAGACCCTCCTCATCCTACTTCCCATCCTCCTGCGAAATCGTAACAAATTCAATTTTCTACGACGCCGATTTGGTTTCCGCACGTCTTAAGCTATCGTCGGCTACAGTCGACGCCATGAATATAGTTATTGGCTGAAAGTGTTTGTCTAGATGTCTGTTGGCTGCTTGTTGCCCTCGGCAACCCGCTCCTTGGCGTCCCGCGTCGATACCGATTGCGCAGTAAAATAAATGATAAGAATCTGTGCGCTCTGCTCATGAATTACAAATCGCATAAAGGATTTGCCACTGGCTCAAGACGGCGGCAAGGACGAGATGCTCCGATGTGCTCCTTCCGTGCAGCCTGCACTGCAGACAGGATGCGGATGTGGGGCTCAGGATGCGGAGCGGAAGGATCAGGTTCTGGCGGAGCACTGAAGGGCTGGGCAAACAACGCACAGCATGTCGGGCATTTTAAGGCATTGAGAGGTTGGCTATTCCGGTAGCTCTTCAATGATTGGGAATAATGCATTAATAAACTTGCTTTCCCCATCGAAGATAGCCTAAATCTAAGCAAATACCCCGGAAATAGGAGTTCCCATTCACAATCAAACCCACATTTAATGTTTTCATTATTATTTTTTTATATTTTTTATACAAAACGTAGAATTTGTCAGCATTTGTATTAAGACTAATTATTAATTTCAATTACTTTGTTAGGACTAGTCGATTAATCGTTTATTATTGGCAAATGCTCTTTACACAATTCAGATCATCGAGTTGTATCGTATTTAAATGCTTAGTAATACTAATCAATTTTTACACTTGATCAATTATCAATTTCGTTTCCATTACGTTTTCATACAGTGAGTCAAAGGAGCTGCCCTTCTGTATCGTAGAAAAAATTATTATCACCGTTGGTTTTTCTTGTCGTCGAAACTGGTTTAAGACTTTTTTGTTTTTATTTGATTTCTTTTGTAGTACGCTTTTAGGAAAATATGCCATTCTAACACTCTAAGTAGACTAGGTTCTTGAAATTTATACAATAGATTATTGTTCTTGGTATTGTTTATTATTGGTATCAATTTAATTTGCTTAAGGTTTTCTCATCGTAAGGTATTTCATTTGTTTCGAATATAAAGTGGAAAAGGTTACAAGTCAAAGGCAAAAAGGCAGGCGTGTTTACGGTCTAGTTTAGATAGTGTAGATTTAGTGGGAGAAAGATTGGAAAGAAGGAGAAACGGGAGAGGGGGTATTTCAAACAGCCATTTTCGAGTGAAAAAAGATAGAAAAGCTTTTATTGCGGCAGTCGTTTTGGCTAGTAGAATTCCCCATATATCATATTCTTGTGGTTTTTCTGTTACAACTATTATGAGCACAATTAATTACGCGTTCTGACAAATTCCTTAGTTCAATTAATTTCCTTTTTTTTCGCTACCGCTCATAAAATACGCTAAGGCCACATTTAATTTATTTATATCCCCTATATTATATACCTATTTAATATTCTTGAGCTCAACGCAACACGAGTGGAAGGAGCGTGGAACGTGATATTGTGTCCAACATTCTTAATACATCTAATCAGGCTTCAGTTAAGGTAAAGTGAAGTGCAGATACAGGCAAACAAAGGAAATATAAAACGCTCTAAAAGGGTAATTGAAACGAAATTGCTGCACACAATGGGGATGGAAAAGTGTGAAGTGAACGGGCAAAGTAAACAAATTGGAAATGGACTAGAAAAGGTAAAAAAGCGAGGGAAGCTACAGGAAAAATTGTTAGCACTTCCTTAGTACCTTAAAAAGACACGAAGAGTATTAGACAAATGGAATTGAATCAATAAAATGTCAAGTTTTATAGTTATTCTTTGGGTAAAAAATGTAAAATATAGGATAAAACAAAGAAAAAATGTAAGTGCTGAGAGGACAAAGTTTCAAAAGTGCCTAACCTGGGGTTAAATTGAATAGGTACACCTTATCTAGGTCTAAAACGTAATCCGGCATAAGCGTAAAACGTAAGCTGGCTAAAAGCTAATCATCGTTAAATATACATATATATACATAGTATACAGAAGCACATTTTTACATTTATTTCGCTCTACTCCTTTTCTTTTATTTTTTGATGTGGCCCAACCTCCACCCCCAGTGGCTTATATTCAAATGACGGCGTCCAGAATCTTGAATCGTGAGCGGAAAAAGTGTCAACACTCGGTTTTTTCCTGGACGTGCAGTTGGGGCTTGGGGAAGTTGGGTATTTCGAGCGTTCATTATCACGCAACGATGGCGGCCATTGCGGATGATGATGATGGCGATGATGACGGGTGATGCGAAGTGGGGGCAACCTGAGAATGAAGCTGATGCTGCTGCTGCTGATGCTGCTGGCTGGGCTTATGTTGGGATTGGGAATATGAATGGGAGTGGGGCTGGGAAATGTGATGGACCGGAAAACTCCACAGAGCAAAAGGCATCTGCTGCTGGACCAACAAAAGCAGTTGGCGTAATTTGTTGGTCGTCGTTGTTGTCGTCGTATCCTTGCCATCCCTCCTCCCAGTTATGGTCGCTGTCGTTGCTGCTGCTACTACTCCTCTGGTTTCGCCACCCGGACAGGTGGCACTGGGATCATCCTCGCTCCCATTCCGCCGCCTGGCGCAGCGCATCTGCATCTGCATCAGCTGCAGCTCGCCGCGTCGTCATTCATCCCAGAGGCACTGTTGTTTCTGCCGCACATAATAGGTGAACTGTGTGCACTTGCGGCAGGTCTTGATGCCGCAGCGATAATTCGTCGGCTGTGCCGGCTGCTGGGCGCCCGAGGAGTCCGCTCCGCCGGCGACTCCCTTGCCCTTGCAGTACTTGAGTCCGCAGGGATACCAGCCGATGCAGGTCTCCAGGTTGCACAGGCAGGGCGCCCACAGGCTGCTCACCTCGTTGCAGCGCGTCGAGAGCGTGTCCGGGAACTTCTCGGTGGCCGCCTCCAGGCTGGAGATCGAGGAGCCTGCCGGAGCCGGAGTGCAACAAACGGAAAGCGAAACAAAAACGTAAACAAAAAGTTGAAAAAGTGGAAAATTCCCCCAGAATTAAACGATAGCCCCGCCAAAGTTTATTCCTGTCTTATTAATTTTACGAAGATTTCTCTTGTGTACCCATTCTAGATATTAAATTCTGAAATTTTTATATTTCAAATAAATTTCTAGGCATATAATTAAATATTGATTAAATGTTGGCTATTAATTAATGTAAATAATGTTACTAGTTGAACAATGCATATGTGTAGAGGACTACAATACATATTATAAGTTCGTTTTATTAATGTTGTTTGTGCAGAACTTTGACCATGTTGCGCTGCGCACGCGAATACCCCATTTATATATAGCTTGAACTTTAAATAATCAACTCCACCAAAGGATTTAATATGCCATAAAAATTAAAGCCTAACGAAAATGTACTTTTATAAGAATCTTTTTAATAAAATGAGTAATTAGGCTAGGCATTTTTGTCCTAAGAAAGGATATATACCCTTAGGCACACCTATTCAAGCCCTAACCCTGAAAACCTCCAAACAAAAGCTGAGAACTCACCTGGCAGCTCCGCCCAGGCCTTGAGGTCCACATCCCGGACGTAGGTGGCGTCCATGGCCTCCGCGCAGAGGCCCTGCAGATGGCGGGTGATGGGCAGGGAGCGGTTCAGCTGCACCCAGCTGCTCATGGTGAAGGTCTCCCGGCCCTTGTCCTCCTCGGGAGTGCGAATGGTGTGCGGATTCTTCTGGCGCAGCTTGGCCATTGCAGCCGAGGAGATGAAGTCGCCCTTGTTGAACTTGGTGGCGAAGCACATGACCTGGTACTGGCTCTGGCCGCGCTCCTCCTCGCCGAGCACCAAGGCCTTGAGGATTTGAACCTCCTGCGGGCGAAAGAGAGAGGAATTTCAAATGTAATTCGGGTTCTCATGTTTCATGCCAAGTCCTTTACTTACATTGCGAAAGTCGATGACCTGGGTGATGAGCGTTCCGTCCGTCTTCTGAAACTCCAGCGTTATCAGGTCCTCGCCAATGTTGGAGGTAATACTCTCCTGGATCACTTCGCCACCCTGCAAAAAAAAAAATGAGAAACGGATTATATAGCAACAAGTGTTAAATTACTTTCTCGGCATTCCTGCCCAACCCAACTAAAATATTAATACGGCACAAAGGCAGCCAGGAGATGATGATGCTGGGGGGTTTCTTGTGTTGTCAGGACTTAAATTAACTATGACAGGTCCTGAAGCTGGGCGGCCATGAACCAAATTAGAGTCAAGAGAGTTGGAAAATAGAAAAAACGAAAACATAAGGGGCCAACGAAAACGAAACGGAGATGAGATGGTCTTTGGCAAGGTGCAGGATGAGGATGTGGATGTGGATAAGGCGAGGACGAGGGAGTCAACTCGTCACCCACAACAGCATCTCGAAATGTAGTTCAACAACAACAGAATTTGCCCTTTACACGTGTACCCGAACAAATATGTAGACTGTGGGTGCTATTGTTGATATACTCTGGTTTTGGGTATAGCAATTTGAGATAGAAGTTTGTAGGTAAAATCATATGGGCCCATATCATATCATATCATATGGGTAAGTATTCATTCATCTAGTTTTAACTAACAAAATTAAACAAAACTAAACAATTTAAAATGATATTAAATAAATAAAATGTTTAAATTATATTCATCATTATAACTCTGCAACAACATATAGAACAAATAAATATTTTTTGGAAACTATTTAATATGAAAGAAAACAGAATATGAAAGAGCAGTTTACGTAGAATTTATATTGACTTATAGTTATTATTATTATAAGTTATTATTATATAAGGTGCTCTAAAGCGTGTTCTTTAAAAATTTCGTTTTCTTTTAGATAGTATCTAAGATTTCCAATAAAAACTAAAAAATACCGAATGTACAAGGGTATTCCGAATTTCGGTCCTTGAAACACCCTTGTTTTCTGTTGTTCTTGTTCTTGTTGCTGCTGGGTTTTCCGTGTGTTTGCACAAAGGCGCATGTAAACAAAGAACAACCGACGAAAGAGAGAAGGAAAGAGGATGCAGGAGAACTGGAGCGAGGTAAGAGAGAGGGAAGAGAGCGGGACAGGACATTTTGGGGCCAGGGACAGAGTGAGGAGAACAATAAAGGATGTCACATGTAAACAAATAAAACCCCGTGTGTGCAAGTGAGATAGTAAAAGCGCAGAGAGACAGAGAGAGATAGCGAGTTCGGTTGCTGCCAGCTTTCATTACAAGCCCGTGCTTTTTTGGCCAACTAATCTAAAATTTATGGAAAAGCCGAAAGCAAAGTGTCAATATTGAGCCAGTCAAACAAAGCCAACTAATATTGAAGTGGAAAAATAAAACGTCAGGAAAGTGAAAGCCTCGGTTTGACATTGAACTGCATTATTGGATGGCAAATATGCACATTCTTTAATTTTTCATTTAATAAAGCACACTACAAAGTACATAATTAAGTTGGTTTTCAGTATCCTATAATGAGCTTATAATTGGACATTCGGATAATAATTTTTTTGGCATAAATCAATAGGATATGAGATTTGGAGCAGCTGTAAAACACATGTTTTCCCTAATCTGAATTGGTAGTTGTTATTCAGGTTCAGGTTCGGGAATTATGTTGCCAGAAACTGAAGATTGGATCTAATGTAAGAATAATTAGTTAAGGAACATTTAATAATTCATATATGATAAATTTATAGAAGCTTTTGTACTTGATAATCAAAGAATCTGCAAGTAAATAGTTTCCATGAAATTTAAAGTTGCCGGTTGGATGAACTGTCAAAATCTATTTTGTTTGGATTTGAATCTTCGTGAACATAAACGATCCTTAAAACCGTAGTTTTTAAAACTACTTTGGGATTCCTTAAAGGAATCATGTAGTATGTAAATATTCTTGACATCAATCTTATATTTGTATTCGGGGGTGTCACAAAAGTCTCTTGCAACCAAAATAAGTAGACGAACTACATATAACCAATCAAATAGTAGGCTTTGAAAAAAATGTTTCTAAAATCAGACCAAATTTGCTAGATTCTGCGACACTGACGGTTTGGGTTGGTTAGTTTTTAAGCCCCTGATTAAATCCTTTAAAGGCTTTTAAATTTCCGTAGCATGGGTTTTGTTTATTTTGCCTAACACCTCTCTTCCTCGCACTCTCTCTTTCTCCCGTTTTTAAATTGTTTTGTTTTGGCGCGCTCATTTTCGAAATTAGCTCTTCGAAAATCAGATGGGCAGCGCTGCCAGCGTCATTGTTTTCCTGTTGTTGCCTTTGTGATTTAGACAGATTTAATTTGTTTAATGCTTTAAATGGCACTTCTTTGGAGTTTTGGGTCTTCGCACCTGATTCTGAACGTTGATGAGCAGCTGGGAGTGGGCGGGGTCACCGCCCACCAGCAAGTTGCAGAGCAGGAACCACAGGAAGGCGCGACTGTGCTTGAAAAAGTGATTGCGGCTGACGACGCGACCGCAGCAAGTGGCACGCGAATGCGTTTTTTGGGCAGTAATCGCGTACAGGTGCGACATTCGCCAGCGGATGTGCGATTGGCGAACAGCCTGGGCGGCATTCGCGACGCGCTGGTGCGGATGCTCCGCTTCCAGGATCATTTCGACACGACACTCCCGATGAATTGTAAATAAAACCGCTCTGCACGATGAACCACTCGCGTAGACGTATGCGTTTTATATTATTTCCGTAATTTTTTTCACAATTATTTCCCCTTCAGAATTTTGCGACCGAATCTTTTCGGCCGCCGCTGCGAACTGCTGCGAAAAACGAAACGCGTATTTTTAGGGTATTTTTATTTTCTACAGCTCTCAGCGTTTGATGAATGGTCACACAGTCAGCTGGTTTCGAATTTGCTCTCTCCCTCTCCATTTAACAGTAATGTTAAGATACACCACCGCTAGTGATGCCGTTATTTTCTGAAGAAAAAATGCTAGATTAAGAAAAAACGAAACTTTACGGAAAAACTTATGAAAAATGTGGTTTTTATAAAACAATGTGATTTATTTTGTATTATTTTTGTTTTCTGCAAATTGACTATTGTCATAATGATTATACAAACAAAATAATTAAAATATATTGATACATAGGGGCTTTGCTAGGCTTCGGAGACCCTTTGAAAAATGTTTATTTACATCATAGCAAACATTTTTATTTATTTACTTAAAATTAGAAAAGGTCTATACCAGCGGAATTCTGTTACCTTCAAGTTTGTTGATATTTTTTAGTTAGCCCTTTGATATTAGTCGATATAATTTAAAATTTGCCCGGAATTACACGAAAAAAAAGCTAAATCCGAAAGAAAGCATTGCATCCTAACATTGCTGTTAAGCGTTTACTAGTTTTCGAAATCAGCTGACTCGTGTGACCGTGCGGGATTCCCAGAAGAGTGCTGCCAACCTGCTCCAAGTGTATGTGGTAGATCTAAAAATACTAAATAAAAAGATGTAATATCTTGTTTACACATGTACGTCAAATTAGCATTGGAAACTTGACGCCTTTTTTATTTTGCGATTTTCTTGTTGTTTTGGGGCTTAATCGAACAAATAAAAACAAAAATGAACTATCGTAATATCTACGACTTACAGTGGACCGATACGTATCCTTCTCTGCGTGGTAAACTTCTGACTGAAATCATTATAAACTCTGTAAGGGCATAAAAAGAAAAAACAAAAATACTTGAAAAGGTTATTCTCCCAATATAAACTTTTTCAAAGAAGGAATAAAAACTTGTGCTTCCTTGGAAGAAATCGTGGTTTATTTTTACATATGAATAGTAGTGCTAAAAATTTGCAAAATCATAAAATTAAGAAACTCTCTTCAAATATACATTTTCATAAAAAATATTTCATATGGTTTTTTTTGAAAATAATTTGTTCCGATTCATTCATTTTGGAATGGCCTGATGAGCATTTTACACGATTTGAGATTAAGTCTTCCCCTTCCGTTCCATGTACTCCACCAAATACCATTCTCGTCTGTCAGATTCATTTGCGATGAGTGATAATAACCATTTAAATTGCTGGAAAATTGTTATCAATTACAGTATGGAAAGTTTGTTAATCGTTTATATATTTACCATTGAGAATTGGCCCACCAAGACCAACAAAACTCTCTGTTATAACAGCCATAGTAACAGCCATTGTGCTTGAATTTCTTATTCACAGATGCCGACAAGGCATCTCCAGCATCACCGGAGTACGCCCCAAGGGACCTTAAAGTGTATCCTTCGTTTTCGCTGCCAATAACAAAGTTATCATACCTTGCATAAGCAGTAGCACCGTCAAAATCGGCAATTTGAATGTATAATTCATGTCTTCGGCTTGTAGTCAACTCATGCAGCTTTTGGCAACCAAACCAGAACTCTCTTTCAAGATTTCCAAATCCTTGTTTATACCAATATTTATGCATAAAGTTCAGTGTGTTAAAGGATACAGTTCCGTCGATTCGACGCTGGATTACCATCCATTTTGGACCGGCGGAGGGAATATCCTCAAAAGCTGCTTCGAAATCTTCGATTCCAGGTAGCTTAACAATTTGAATGCCATTTTCTTCTTTCAGTTTCACTAGGGATTCTAGTTCGGCGATTCGATTATTTTTCACTCGCAGTTCTTCCTCCACATTCTTAAGTTTGCGTTTTAAAAGGTTAATCTCGAGCTCTACGCTCTCGTCTTGATCGCTTGCTCCACTCTCCTTTTTCTTTTCTAAATCGGAACTGATCTGAAATATTACTTAGTTTATAGGGACTTAAAGAAAATAATAATTACGTTTATACTTACTAGGAGATTCTCAGTAGAAGATTCTTTCTTTTCGGGGTTCATTGCGAATTCAAATACTAAGGGCTCTGATCCAAAATATAAAAACTAATGTCGTAGTGCTACTAACTTAAGGCCAACACCAAAAGTACCTGTTAATTCAAATATTTTGGTTAGCTACCTTATTACTTTTTTAAAAAATTAAATAAATAAAGCGGTCGGCAGCCGAGCTCAACTAACTTGACACGTACTTACGTATATTAGTGATTTTAAACCTAACTGATAAGCAACGCGATTAAAATAATATAAAAAATTCCAGGAAGCTTACGATGTAATATTAAACAGAATTCTATTTCGGTAATGCAATTTTGTTTACTTGGCGTTTTCTTTGTTTCAAGTGGCATTGTTATGACTCATTGAAAAATGCGGGAAACCTAATATATAATACATATGTATATTAGGGCGGTCCATAAAATGAAATCCTGTTCTCACGTTAGTTTAAAGTGTGCTAAAAATGCACACTATTTTTTTTAAGATTTAAATATTTTGGATCGTCTTCAAAATTACTCAAAACCCGAAATGTTTTTTTTGAAAATCAATAGTTCGAAGAAATGACGTTTGAATTTAAGAAATGCCTATATGAAAATAATATATCTGATCAAAAGCAACAGTGCTTATGAGTTATAAACTTTGCTTTTTTCAAAAAATTTATGTTACCTACCATAGGCGGGTTAGGGTAGGACCCTAAAAATGTCCACATAAAGGTGGACCACCCTAATCTATATTGACTTATAGGCATATATGAAATGTACACTAGTCGGCGTAAGTATTTTGATGAAACAAATTTTAAATATATTCATACTTACTTCATGTACAATTATGCATCAGTGGGAAGATTATTTAATTTCCGTTTGAAATATACAAGATTTTTCTTTTTGTTTCGTCAAAATATTTATGCCGACTAGTGTATATCAGTCTGGGTAGAACGTTCGATCAAATGTCTCATTGGTTAATACGAACAATAAAAAAAATGGGTTTTAGACAGGCTTGTAGCAACCGGTGTCTTACACACAGAAAATCGTTAGTTCAAAATTATTAAATTCCAATTCAAAGATGCAAACAATTTTTTTTCCATTGTAAGTCTCAGAATTCATATTTTATGCTTACCAAAAGTTCACTGTTATTTGTCCACTTGATTTTTAGAACTTTTAGAACTAAGCCGTCCGTATTGGGAGCTAATAAAAAATAAACTGCAGCTCAGCTCGACAAAACCCGTATATATATACTAAAAAAAAGTACTTAACTTTTTGGTATTTCCGGTGCAAACGTTCACACTACCCTCACAGCTGATGCCTTCACTATGCACTAAATTTGGCCAAAACGCGTTGCCCCGCAGTCGCTTGTGACGTGTTGTTTTTTTGTAAACTATGTTTTTTAGCCACTAAAAAGGGCATAGTTTGTTGAATATTTATTGAAACCAACCCAGATAGCCGGCCGCCACACCGACCACAAAATGCTGACCCTGCGGGAGCGCCAAATCAGTGAGAAACATCGAAAAACATAGGCTCCTTTTAAGGGGAAAGCTTAATTAATGGGGTTTTTCTATCAATCATTCCAGATGCCATTAAGCAGATGCTTAATTTGAACTCGCAGCAGCCGAAGGCTTTGGCTGCCGAGCCCGTGTGGAAGATCCTCATCTACGATCGCGTTGGTCAGGACATAATATCGCCCATTATTTCCATCAAGGAGCTGCGAGAGTTGGGCGTGACCCTGCATGTGTAAGTAGTTCAGGATCCCCTAGAAATTATATAGATAGATATCCAGTTTTATAAACACTATACTCCCTCACAGGCAACTCCACTCCGATCGCGACTCCATTCCGGATGTGCCGGCTATATACTTTTGCCTGCCCACCGACGAGAATCTGGACAGGATTCAGCAGGACTTCTCGAACGGACTGTACGATGTGTACCACCTGAACTTCCTGGCACCCATTACACGCAGCAAAATCGAGAATCTGGCTGCCGCTGCCTTGCACGCCGGTTGCGTGGCCAACATACATCGCGTTTACGATCAGTATGTGAACTTCATCAGCTTGGAGGACGACTTCTTCGTCCTGAAGCACCAGCAGAGCGACCAGCTCTCCTACTACGCCATCAATCGGGCCAATACCCGCGACGAGGAGATGGAGGCCCTGATGGACTCCATTGTGGACTCGCTCTTCGCCCTGTTTGTGACCCTGGGCAATGTGCCCATTATCCGATGTCCGCGAAACAGTGCCGCAGAGATGGTAGCACGCAAGCTGGAGAAAAAGCTGCGTGAGAACTTATGGGATGCGCGCGCCAATCTGTTCCACATGGACGCGACACAGGCCGGCGGCGGAGTATTCAGCTTCCAGCGACCCGTGTTGCTGCTGCTGGACAGGAACATGGATCTGGCCACGCCGCTGCATCACACCTGGTCGTATCAGGCGCTAGTGCACGATGTCCTGGACTTGGGACTGAATCTGGTCTACGTGGAGGATGAGACGGCTAGTGCGGGCAAGTTGATTGAGTCATTCATTAGCTGTCTGAGCTGTAGAGTAAATTGAAAATTCCCTATTTTAGGAGCCCGGAAGAAGCCCAAGGCCTGCGACTTGGACCGCAACGACCGCTTCTGGATGACGCACAAGGGCAGTCCTTTTCCCACGGTGGCCGAGGCCATCCAGGAGGAGCTGGAGTCCTACCGCAACTCCGAAGAGGAGATCAAGCGTCTCAAGACGTCGATGGGCATCGAGGGAGAGTCGGACATTGCCTTTTCGCTGGTTAATGACACCACCGCCCGGCTGACCAATGCCGTCAATTCTCTGCCACAACTGATGGAGAAGAAGCGACTGATCGACATGCACACCAAGATCGCCACTGCAATCCTGAACTTCATCAAGGCTCGAAGACTAGATTCATACTTTGAGATTGAGGAGAAGGTCATGTCGAAGCAGACACTGGACAGGCCTCTGTTGGATCTGCTCCGGGATGGAGAGTTCGGTCAGGCGGAGGATAAGCTGCGCCTGTACATCATCTACTTTATCTGCGCCCAGCAGCTGCCCGAATCGGAGCAGGAGCGGCTCAAGGAGGCGCTGCAGGCGGCCGGTTGTGACCTTACTGCCTTGGCGTATGTGCAGCGGTGGAAGGGGATCATGAACCGCTCGCCGAGCATTAGCCAGGCCACCCAGTATGAGGGTGGCGGCACCAAGACTGTGTCCATGTTCACTAAGCTCGTCTCACAGGGCAGCTCCTTCGTGATGGAGGGAGTCAAGAATCTGGTGGTAAAACGGCATGTAAGTATCAAATTTTATATGTTAAGGCGGTTCTGACATTGAAATCCCTTGCAGAATCTTCCTGTTACCAAAATCACCGAGCAGGTGATGGAGTGCCGCAGCAATGCGGAGACCGATGACTACCTGTATCTGGATCCCAAGCTACTCAAGGGCGGCGACGTTCTGCCGAAGAATCGGGCTCCATTCCAGGACGCCGTGGTCTTTATGGTCGGCGGAGGCAACTACATCGAGTACCAGAACCTGGTGGACTTCATCAAGCAGAAGCAAACGTCCAATGTGCAAAGGCGGATCATTTACGGCGCTTCCACGCTGACCAACGCAAGGCAGTTCCTCAAGGAGCTATCCGCCTTGGGAGGCGAAATCCAGTCGCCGGCGGCAACGAGTTAGGAGCGGCTGCTCCGATTCCATTGCTGCTGAGCGGAGTGGACTGTGTTTTGGGTGCATGTGCATGGGTGTCTGTGTGGCTTCTTTCGTTTACTTTAAGCATATCCAAAAATAAATTATATGCCAGGCAAAAAAAAAAGAGAGAAACAAGCGAACGCAAGAGGAGAACTGAGCACTCGGCAATTACTCCAACCTGACGCTTAATCCCCGAAGGACAACAAGCAAAAACATGCGTAGCCTCGTGTACAACAAGCCCAGGGAGCTGGTGCTGGAGTTGGAGTTGGAGTCGGAGTTGCTGGAATGGGAGCTCGACGGCGGGCAGGGGCACTCGCATTCTAGGCACCCATTAACACCAACTTGGCAACGCTTTGATGGACAGCTGACAGACAACCAGTCAACGGCTGAGGCGATGATGGCCCCGGCCCGATTCGATTCCCGGTGCCTTCGGCGGCGGCGGTGCCACAATTATGGGGCGACAACTATGCGCGGCACTTGGGGACAGGCGCAGAAGCTGGCAGGGACGGCACCCAGCAATTAGCACTATCCCTGACCAACTATGAATGGACAGTCGATGGCATGGCAGAGTTACTGAGGCACTCAACCGATTTTTTCCGAGGCACTGCAGCACTGATTGAATGTCGCTTCTTATCTGGCAGGCAAGTCAATCAAAGAAGAGCGTTAAATTATCCCAGAAAATCCGCTTTTGGTGTAACTAGCAAAAAAATTGTAAGCCTTATTATGTACATGAATATTGTAACGAATATTTAGGAGAATATTGTTTAAAGTAAGGGATCAAGGTATGTACATAATCAATGAGGTGTACAGCTTCGGGGCTTAGTGTAGAAAAAATGAAGAACTCAGGATCTATATAATTGTTACTTTGTTAAAAATATTTTGAATATTCAATTGGATTTTATAGGATCAAGAAACTTCTTTAAAATTAATTAAATAATGAATGGCTGGAAAGTGACTACTTTTTAAAAAGAGTTATTACCTCTTTTGTCAACATATGCTTTTATAAGTAAACTTATTAAGTTAATAGAACTTTCTAAACGTAACGTTCTTAATGTATTTGTCCAAATCTTAAGAAATCAAAAAAGTAAAACCCAATAAATCCCTTGGGAATTAAGCCCAAGCAGATAAAGCTCACATCGAAACTATTTTAAACGAAATCCAGACCACTGTAGGAAGTTTTCCGAGATAAGCAGCAAACAAATACCGAAAAAAATGGGAAAAATATGGAGAAGAAAAAACCGATCCGTGGGCTAATTAACACTTTTGGTAAATCAGAATTGATGGCCCCGCTGAAAGGCCACAGAAGAGATGATGACGCTGACGATGACGATGATTATTCATGGAGCGTTGAGTTTAAATATTGGTTTTGGTTGGGCAGCCGGGGCTTGGGTTACTATCCAGACTACCCGTGGCCACAATTTAAATGTTAACATAAACAAGAGCAATTTAACAAAAGCCAGAGACCCAAAAAAAAAAAATATAAAAAAATGAAACACCAAAAATACAGAGGAAAAGAGAAGTCGGACTCCCAGCCAGAAACTGGTAACCCAAAGTGATTTCACGGGTGGTCCGAAAAGATGCGGCTCAAACAAATCATAAAGAAAAAATGAGAGGGAAAAAGACTACAGAAACTAACAACGAGAACGCAACATGAAAGAAATTCTTAACTTGCCACATGCATGAATCGATTATGTGGTAAATGCAACTGTCCCGGTGTGCGTGAGTATCTGTGTGGTGTGGTGTGTGGATCTTGGAGCCCAGAAGAGCTCCACCACTCCTCCACTCCCCCACTCCGCCGATGGAGACCCAAAAAATCGAGGAAAAAATAAAATGGTCAGGCAGCCGTTTCCCACATTCCTGCTGTGAATCATAATGGCTGCCGCTGTCGTCGTCTTGGTTCGGTTGGATCTGCTGGGTCTGCCGGCTGCCCCGGCTCCCCGATCTCCGCCAGCACACCGATACACACTCGCCGACATCCCATACATATATCATAATCTTAACAACTCTTAACAAGGCAGAACAAATTCCAAAATTCGAGGAGCCGGGCTCAAACAGCCAGTCAGGCGGTCGGACGATCCCACAAAATGAAGTGCCGGCCAGACAGAGAAGGCGATCTTCAGTTTTAGCTTCGACTTCGGCTTCGGATCTTGAGACCCAATGAATGGACGATGACTCTTAGTTGAGACTCTGCTGAGATCTGGCCAGATATACATTACCTTCATTTTCCAATACAAAAACACTTAATATTGGATTTTTACAAGCCATTTTCCATCTATGATACTCAAACTTAAGGATTATGGGAACACAAAATATCCTTGTATGTCAATGTGGGCTATCGGAAAGTTGTATCCCAACAATTTAGAAATATGGATATCTTATAAATGAAATAGGTTCATTAAAGTGGCCAAGATATCAAGCTACAAAACTGATTCAATTCTGTTTAAAATTTTTAAAATGGGAACTAAGTTGGTTTATAATGATAATGTAATTGGACATCCATTTGTTGTTAGTAGCTTCTCCAGTAGCCTTTTGTACAATCCTTGTCAGCATTTTGTTGGCATATCCTATTGTTGTTCCC